TAAATCAAAAGTACACAATACAAAAACCAAATAATGCACAAGTCTTAGCGTGTGTTAGGTACAAGAAAGTGTTTTCTCTTATTATGGATTGTCTTGTTCAATCTTATAATTTGTGAAACAAATGATAATAATTATTATTATTTAGACATACGTACCTTCGAAGTGATAAAGAGTTACCTGGATAATCCAATATATAGTTATGTTAGCGTTAAATTAAAGTCTTCAGTTATTGTTGTGTTTGAAGTCATGTACATTACAAAAAAATATATATATTTGATTAGTAGAAATACATATATAAAGCATTCTAAAATTTAACTGTACATCAAACGTAAACATGAATTTAACAGTTACAATAATATATCCATAATTGTCTTTAAAAATCATTTCAATTATTGCGCTTTACAAATAAGAGTTGTATTGTAATATCAAGATGTAAAGTTTCTATTAACAAACCAAAAAATGACATAATTTAATAATTTGAATTTCATGTCACACAATTAATTATAATTTCATAGTTTAATTTGAGTCCCATATCACAAAATTAAAAATAATATTGTATTCGTTAACTTACCGTCATACCTTTAGGATTTGTAACAACGTGCAAACTATTAAATATTTCAAAACAGTAAATATGAAAGGATCCACAATATATGCTTAAGCCGTAAGAGTAATGTGCAGGAATATATCGCACGTGTTTGTATTATGCAAGACTCCACAACACAAGAACGAACAATGTGCATAGCTGCCACACATCGTGGTAAATGTCGGTAAAAAGATGAGAGGGAGCTGGAAAACGACTGTCTAAGGTTTGGTTGCTGTAATAGTAATAAGTAATGTTTCAGAGAAGACAATGATCCGTTGTGTTGGGCTTGTTGACGTTTAAACGTGAATAGTGTTTTAAAATAGACACAAGTTCAATACTTAAATTGGCTTTAGAAACATGTGATGTTGGTCCAAGAGTATGTAGACCCTCTGACATGATATATGAAATGTTGATGCCCAAAAATCTTCTTTTGATAATCCAAACGAGTTTAAAATGTATGATACTATGAATTTCATTATTGTAAAGAGGATTATTAAAGCTCAATTTCTATTCAAAGGGTGTACCCTTACATGCCTCTACATTGTCTCTTTTTATCGATACCCATTCCCGACCTGGATATAAATAAATGTAACAAAAATATTATGATCAAGGCTTTTAATTTATTATAGAATGAAAGGCGAAAATTTCAGAACAATACTTCTATCAGAATTAGATTTGTCAGTTCGTGAGGACAAAGTTTTAAACCAGATCAAAATGTGATGATTATTGCAACAAAACAAATCGTTATCATGCTGGAAATGCAAATAAAATCGAGCTGGATTTATCGTGCAAAAAAAATCATACGAACGAAAATAGGGAAGACGAGTGGGATACACACCACGACAAACTCTACATGTGTACTAGAGTGTTCAGAGACTCAAAGTTTGATTTAAGATCAAACAAATTAACCATGTCCATGTACCGCACATCATCTCAGTCCAACAAAACGTTTTGTTAAATTTGTATTTCAGAATAAATTTAAGAACTCAAGAGGGTGCAAAAACAAAAACATAATTTCACGTGACGGAAGCATGTCAATATAGAAATCACATAACAACGTCAACGAATGCAAAATTTACCTACCTGTGGTTATATACATCTATAATTAACAGGACGGATAATACTATTTTTACATTATGCTTTAAATCAGCAGTTCAAATAAATTTGAATAAAAATAATACTGGAATAGTTTTTTTTTTATTACGCATCAATCAAATAATCTCTCAATATAACTATCATAACTCACGAAGCATAGTGACATTTATATTCTTATGAACGTATGTAAATGTCCATATCGTTATGCTAGTTGCATTTATATTCATTTGAACGTATGTAAATGTCCATATCGTTAATCTAGTGACATTTATTTTCTTATGAACGTATGAAAATGTCCATATCGTTATGCTAGTGACATTTATATTCTTATGAACGTATGTAAATGTCCATATCGTTATGCTAGTGACATTTATATTCTTATGAACGTATGTAAATGTCCATATCGT